CAGTGAATGGAGACCCTCATGTTGGGTGGTTAAACTGGGTTACATGTAAAATGATGCTGATCATGAGAGATGTAATTTTGCCTCCAAATCCATGGGAAAGCCCCAGAGCTGATCTCAACGGCCTTTTTCAGAATCCACTTGACTAGAAACTGCAGTAAGTCCCATAGTCAACAGCCCCGGCTCCCAGTACCAGGTGGTTCAAGTTTGTAGTCTGCAGACACAGGCTCTAATTGGACACCAGGACATAAATCCATCAAGTCTTGAGCAGAGCCTAGCTCTGTCAGTCTCTGCCTGTATCAGGATCAGCTAAAATACAGGGTCTAAGGGGTGCATTCGACCACGTAGTCTGCATGTACAGTAGTCTCACGGTTCAGACACTCAGTTACGCATTATGACTGACAAGGGTTTGTTCCTGCAAACTATTTACCCGGTAGTTTGAATGGTTTGAAATATTCCTCAGGAGAGACCCAAGCCAAGGAGGATCTAAATTCCAACATGTCTGAAACCTGTCATTTTGGTTAATTCACTGGGCTATTCTTTCAGTGTCATGGCCAGGCCAATTTGCTGTGCGACTCCAGAACGTGATGCTAAGAAACGTACATGTGATCATGTACAATGTACATCCATATATAGATCTTATCTGGGGACCAGACATCTGAATTTCTACAGTTGAACAACGTTTTGTTTCGTTCCATTTGGTACCAGGGGGAGGTGGTGCATTGCACTGCTGGCCCACCACCAACAGGGTGTATTGTTCATAACGGGCAGAAACTCCCGACAACCGGTGGAAGAACACCTGATGACCTACCTGGTGGTGCACAAGACAACTAGTCTCCTGTTTTCTTTAACCTGCCTCTGCCTCATGTCCTTGTACATGTACATGTACATGTAGGTCTTTTTTTTATCAGGTTCAGACCTACCTGTAAAACCAATCAAATACTTAATATTCATATTTAATTATACAAGTTGAACATGGCAGAGTTATTCAGTCGTATGTACAGTACCATATTGGGTTTTACAATGTAAACAGATGTTAGCTCTCAATGCTCAAATGTCACTTTATATGCACAAACGCAATGAATCCAGGTGGCACTGTCATGATCAGTATACCAGACGGATGGAATTAAATGCTTCCAAATATCAAGAAAACCAGTGACCGGAAAGAATAGCATTTTACTCAGAAGAAGTCGATTATCATATGAACCTACGTACATACATGTACATGTACATGTATGTGTAGAACTGGTCCCATTATAAGAAGAAAGAGCTTTGAAATTGAGGTTAAAGGGTTCATTCCTGCACAAATCATGATCTCTTTCCCACATGTATCCTGCAGCCTTGCTTAAAACCATCAACTTACTGAGATGTAGAGTACTGATGTGTAGCTTTACATGTACAGTACATTGTGTTTCTAGAAATTATTTTCAAGAAATAAAGCAAGAGTTTGAAGGTTCTTTTCCCCATTAGCATGCTCAAGGAGTTACTCTATCTGGAGCATCAGAGGCAAGTCTGAGTCTATCTTCAGTAGCGACTTACATGTACATGTACCCCGTGTCCACACACAACAAATTCGTTGTATACATGTAACTATCCCAAAACGGTATAACTATGTATGTATAAAGAATCACGGAATGTGTTGTGTGTGGATGTACTGTATGGTCGATCTAGAACGATATAACTGGGCAGGGCTTAACGTGACCGTGCGCGAAAGGAGACCTGACCTCTCATTTCCGCTTTCATTCATGACCAGAGTAGCAAACTGCGCACCTACAGTACATGTTTCCAACGTTTCGCTGTTTAGTTTCGGATTACTTGTTCTTGTGTGTGTGGACGCTCTGTTCGCTACACGATGATTCTTTATAGGATGTTTCTTTAGAGAGTTTTGGGATATATTTGTTTTTGTGTGAACACACTGTATAAAGCCTGTTGAAATAACTCTAATTTCCAAACATGCCCTCCATGTAGACTGCTTGGATAAATCATGGACCTACTTCCATGGATCGATCTGCAGTTGAAGGCTACACGTGCAGGGTTTTCATTAGACCTATTTACATTACACAGCCCAAACATTATTTTCAAAAAATCATCGTTTTGGAAAAACCAAAAAAACTGGAAAAACCCTTTAAGAAAAACATTGAGGTCAGCATATTTTGATCGTTTCGTGAGAAGTGTGCAATCTGCGCATGCACAGCTGAAAACAAAAATAATAAAACCTCTGGTGAGTAGTTGTTTTTTTTTTTCAATGATTATTGCAGTGTAAATTAAAAATTCAGTACAATTCCCGTTCTTTGTCATGTGACTCTCCTTGAGCACTTAAAATCAGTATGATTAAAAACAAACACTTTTTTATGAGTTTTTTTTTAGTAGTGTAAATGGCAATCAAAAAAAATTGATGATTTTTCAAAATGGTGTTTGGGGAGTGGGAATGGGCCTTGTGATGCAACTCGGTGAGCTCCCATGTTTACAATGTAAAATCCCATCAGTTCTCTGGTAGGCTTTATCGAACAAATACGAAGTGAAAAGGAGATTTTGATTCATCCTCAGCCTCCGTTGTAGATTTATTATCAAATCCAATGAAAATACAAACCAGGATTGCCATACAGAATTGATAGCTAGGAAAAATAAACACGAAGTGACACACTTAAATCAATGCATTATCTTTTATGATTCTGTAAGGTGGTTTCCTTACTGTCTAGAAAGGTTGGGGGAAATACAGAATTGTTGTTTAACCCGTTAAAGACTAACAACCTCACATAAAAACTAGTAAAATTCAATGTAAAGTGATACAAAAAAATGAATACAAAGATATCTGTTCAACTAGAAGTCCCTGGTAACATGTACTGTACACTTGTACATACATGTACTTGTACATTTGTATTAAGGGCAAGTAGTCTTTCATCCCTTCTCCATTCCCCCACCCCCCCCCCCTCCCCCCTCGGCATAAGCGCCAGGAGGGTCAAATCTGACTGACATGAGCGCTATACAAGAACCGATTATTATTATTATGTGCATGCAGTATTGAACATGAACATTCCAGTGCAATCTTGAAATTGTATCAAGAGAACAAATGAACATTACAGTGGGACCTTGGGGGAAATAAATTGTAACAAAAGGGGTTTATCACTCATGATTACCATCATAATAATTCAAGAAAGTCTTGGATAAAGTTGGATGTCTGAAGAATAGTCTAGTCTTGGGTCAAGGACAGAACAGGTGTATTTACTTGAATTTGACCTCAGTGTGACCCAGTTTAGAATAGATGAGAACAGACCTTTTAGACAAGTATACCCGATAGAAATGCATAACTTCCATAACAGAAATATGTACACCCACCCACACACACAGTGTACAGTTCAGTACATACAGTACATATGTGCACTGTACATAGTGTTACTGGTTTATATACAGCATCCCCAAAACAAACATCCTTTATGTACACTGTACACAGTTATTTACATATCAGCTAGAATTCCAATACAAGCTGTTCAACCAGCCTGGTAATGTACAGTTTAGATTTTAACAAAATAAACTGAGTGAGAATTCTCTTACACAACATGTCAGACTGTCAGTCCACACACTCACTACATGCTAAATTTACATACCGGTACCATCTTTCAGCTTCAGTTTGACTTTGAAGTTCTGGCAAAAATTGCCTGCCCTGAATACAAATTATACAAACTGTCTTTTGCTATGTGTACATTAGGCCTACAAATATGTCAACTTACTTTTTATATGAAGGCCTACTGCAAAATGTGTTAAATGTTTTTAAACTATTTTCTCAGCGGCTTGGGTAGTCTTTAAAATAGGTAAAAAGTACATTTGGAATTTCAACAACCATGTTCTTGCATGGGTTCAATACTGCAGGCCTACATGTAGCATATACATGTAGGCCTGCAGTATTATGTACTGTACATGTAGGCCATACTGTTTACATTCATTAACAAAATTAGACAGTCCTATCCCATCAAATTTAATCTGCTTACCTACAGCTTAGATACATGTATGTAAAATAGTTCAAATTTTCATTTCGGAAGTTGTTAATTCCAAAAAATTGTAATGAGTTCTTTTATTCTTGCTACCCAAATCGATGGAAAAAAAAATATTTTAAAGCTGAATTGGGTACTAAATACAGCCAAGTTAGACTACATTAAACATTATTTCAGTCATGTCAGTAAATGACAATCAATATTTGTTTCCCAATAAAAATATTATATACAGGTAATACACTGTACATTTCAGGTACTGAAGAACATGAAAAAGCGGAATCTTCCAATTATTGTTTTAAAAAGCCCAAATTCATGGCAGAAAATCTTGGAAAATTTCAGGGATTTTTTATTGTTTTGCAGTCTGAAACATGTGACAATTCTGGTTTACCTTTGTCTCCAATAATATTTCCTGTTCCTTGTCAATTGTATTCTATTTCCATGAGGAAGAACTTCCTTTAAATTCCAACTTTTTAAGCTTGCATTCATGAGTAACGACTCTTGGTCCAAACAATTGGAGAGTCCCAAGAAATTCCACAAACCTCAGAATGGATCTTTGAGCCGCATGCATGACAGCAATTTATTTTTTCATATTTTTTTAATAACACATCATAGATCTATTGACATTTTTTTTGTTTTTTTTTAATTAAAAAAATGCTGTAAAAACAGAAGAAACCCAAGTTAAAATCATACAGGAGCAGATCAGATATTTCTCTAGTAAAACAAAAAATGAACAAGAAATAATTTTTTTTTAGGTCAATGTAATTTTTTTAGTGAAAATCTACATCACAGTTATAAGGGGGAAAATCTGCCCCATGACCATGATGTTTACCTCACAAAAATTCTTATTTTACATGTAATTAAACCAAACATGAGAATTACAATAGCTAGTAAATTTAAGCAAACATGTGGGTTGGTTAGTAGACTTTGAAGACTTCCTGATAAACATGCACTCAATATTTTTTGATGGTAAAGATTGTTGTTACCATTTGTTAAATTCAAAGAATATAAACTTACTCGTCCTGTAGCCTTCTTGTATCTCTGCACAGACTTGTCAATCAGTTCCCCGACACTCAATGTTCCCTCTCCACATGGGACAATAACTTTGATTGCTCCAAAACAAACTGTCACCTTCATGATGGCTATTATTCCGTCACAAAAAAGATAATCCTGAATTATTTCAAAAGATCTGTTTCTTTGATCACTCACTGATCATTTCCTCCACATTACAGTATGATTTATCATAGTTTTGCCAGTGCATCTGAAGATCCTTGAACTTGAAAAGAGATTAAGAGTTACACCGGTTTCTTTCCATTATTTAAATGAGTGGAAAAGAATCAGTTGACGTTATTCTAACTCAGTCAGCACAGTCTAACTCAAGTTTCGATGCAGAATTTATAGAATTGCTCACTACGACACTATGTCACTAGAGTAAATCTCCACATGTAGTCAAATATTCATGGATTTCCACTGTTGTAAGCAGTTTAATTCACAGGTGGCGATGAGATGTCTAGATGATGTGAGCACCGGGCGTGTTTCATCACTGAGTCATTCCTTGCAGCTCATTTAGCACACACCCTCCCACGACAGCGCTCTATTCAGCGACTGACTGGAAATCGAGCCGCTAGTTCCCCGTTACTCGATGTGTGGGTGCTGCATCTGTGTTTATCCAGCGCAACATGCCATTCCTATTCGTAACCCAGCGCAGCTGCACACAGGTGTTGTATACACGGACGGAAGGTGTTTCTGTCCCGGACGATTTCCTAAAGGAAAACGGACAAAGATAACACAAATAAGAAGACGGTTAACGTATTACAGAAATAAACAATATCACTAAAAGGGTGTCCTTTTGTTGTTAAATGTACAAGCGGAGGCGGTCCTTTGTTGAAATTTAAATTGTATCACATATAAATCGATAAAATTCGATGTTGTATTGAAATGATGAAGAATCGAAGGCGGCCCATCTCGGCTGGGTCGATCGCGAATCGTCGATCAAATATCCGTTTGTTTACAAGACACAGTCACTGGCTTTACTGACGATGAAAATACAAAAATGAACAGATAATGAGCTCTAGGAAAATTAAAACTTACCTTGAAAAAAACTGAACACTGAAATTAAGAAGTCCAAATGAAAATGGGAAACAAATTTTTAACCGCATCTACTGCGTAACTCAATACCTTCCCGATATGCGGATCGCATACAAATTTTACACGTCTTGAATTTGCTGTTGCATGCTGCCGTAAATAATCGTGTGATGGCGCTACACATTTTTAAATTTCGTCTGCTCTGAATTTTCAATAAGTGCCCCACCCATCCTCCTCATTACAAAGCCCATCCCCCGCTCCAAATTATAGTAGAACATAACTTACCCGGGAACTTACCCTGTTAAATCGATAAGCTCTGGTATAATTATATTTACAAGAAGTAAGAGAGGATTAATATGGCTTGAAGTACAAAGGCCAAATCACCATTTTAAATGAATTTGCACACAAGTTTTAAAAAGGACCAAATTGAAGAAAAAAGGGACCAAATTGAAAATGGGAGAGAGAGAGGGAGAGGAAGGGGCAAATAGTGAGAAGAGAAAATGTTTTTAGAACTTGAGAGGGTCAGAAAATAAAGTAATAGATTCCTTAGCATATTCCGAAATAGGCTAGTAAGCTACGACCCCCTCTTTGAGAAAAAAAAATCATCACGATCGGAGTCAGGGGGGGGGGGCAGGGTTGTAGGTTTTTGAAAATCGTCATTCAGGGAGAAATGGTCAAAAAACTATGTGCCCTTCTCTAGCTTGGAAAAGTGAACAGCCTCGTGTGCATTTCTTAACACCCCCCCCCCCCCAAAAAAAAAAAATCCTTCATAGACAGCGAAAAGAAGACAGTATAAACCTACAAGCATGCCAAGTAAAATACGAATGGTGGTGCATAATTTAAAAAGGGAGGGGCAGATGCTCGTTAACATTAATTTCAAAGAACTTAAAATGTAGACAGCATTGAGCAGAAAGATGAGAGAAGGTTCTGAGCAAGTCTGCCAGACAGAGAGGATGAAATATACCTTGCCAATTTAATCATTTCAGACGTTAGCTTTCTCGACCCACACACTAACTAATCATAAATCCATTTCTCGTCCTCTTAATTCATCCCTCATGGTGGTGTTCTCTGGTTCGAGTTCAAACGCCGGTCAGAGAAAGGGTGGATGCATTAAATCGAACTATCTGGGGATTGGGCAATAATCATAAGTCACGCTCTAATTGCATGCACAAATTTCAGAAATTGTGAATGGATGTCTGGGCTAGCTTGTGAGGCCGTACGTACTTGGCCTAAAATGAACTTGTGTAACCTACGACTGTGGCATGCTCATTTCTGTTCATTCCTAAACATCTTTCTAGCGTTTCTTCTAAAAAAACGTCCTTGTCCTCTTGAAAAATATTTAATGAATCCAGACAAAACTGTGCATAGTTTTATTTAACGTGTTTTAGTCAATGTAATTCCATTTTGTTGATGTCACTTATTGTTTCAATTTTATTTAGCCGTGTTGATTTAAGTTAGTCGATGAATAGCTTATTGATGCTCACTATGATTTTGATCTAGCTTTTTCATTCTATTGATCTTTCTATATGAATCTGCTATGGCAGCTTTCATGAAATAACATGTCAAGGTACATTGTTTTTCGTATACTTCATATGTGTTGACTTAAATCTCCCCCTCACGCACGAAATAATTGGTGTGTCTAAACCTAATAAATGCAACATCCATCTCATATTTCTGTTGTTTTCATCTTCATCTTTCATTAATTTGTTTTATTTATAATTCCCCCTTCATCATTCAAACTTCTCTCCTTCTCACCCTCGTTCTTTCCCGCCTGTTCCTTTTTTTTTTTTAACTTTCCACTTCTTTTATCGGCCCCTTTGTTTCTTCGTCCCTTTTTCTCTACTGACCCCCCCCCCCCCCTCGAGATCTCCTTCAAAAGTATAATAAGTATTTTACTCAAATGTATTATTCCTCCTCCTTAATGTGCCCTATATTCACTCATCTAAGTACACGTAGGACTATCATAATTATTAATAACTCAATGAAACTATATCGCACACTTTTATGACATGGCTATGTTTGATTTTGTAAAATAATCCGATCCGAATTCTGAATTGACCCTTATAATTTATATTGTGATTTATAATATTGCATCTGATGTCAATGCACTTGTTCGTATATAGGGCGGGGGCGTCGCAAGGGCATTTTGAAAGGGGGAGGTAATCGCTCTTAGTCTACAGGCCTTTCCCAACAAGCACTGGCGAAAGTTTCAATACAAATTGTGGCAACAAACATAAGCAAAAGGAAGTTGGAAAATATTTTTTGTTTCAATAAACAAAACAATTGAATATGCCAAAAGTAGTTTCCCACATATAGGGGGCGTTATCCCCCACCCCCTTGCAGCGACGCCCCTGTCTTGGCTTCGGACAATTTATATTCTTGACCGCTATAAGGGAAGCGGGTCAGTCTTTCTGGTCAGGCGACTCGGAAATGAAATATCAAACTTTTTGTATAAAACTGGGGCGGACATAAAAATGTGATACAATTTTTTTTTTAATCCACTGGTCGAAAGTAGAGCATATGCCTGACACTATACCGGTATGGGAAACGAATATAACTTTTTGTATACCATAACTGGGGCGGACATAAAAATGTGATACAATTTTTTAACTCTTTTTAATCCACTGCTCGAAAGTAGAGCATAATATGCCTGACACTAAACGGTATAGGAATAAGGTAAGAGAAAACTGAACAAAACTAAACAAGAATATGACTATCTTGGACAAAAGCATTTTAAATCTAAATTATTTGAATGACTAGATCTTTCAGATTTGTGTTTCTGATCACTTTGTCAACCAACAGAACAGGTGCATTTTATAAACATATTTGAAAATATGGATCTCGGTTTTATGTTCCGTACTGTTCCCATTTCTGTTATCTCAGTATACTCCTTTTTAAATAATATTGTTCGTTCAACCTATATTTTTTGTTTATTTCACTGGAGTTTGTTGGTTAGAGACGTTAAAAACTATCATTTCTTAGTTTAAGGCCGTTTCTGCATTTACAGCATTATTTCTTCCCAGGTCGTATGAATTATTCCACGTTTTATCATTGACTGATGAATTTATTTTTTCAAAGTCTTTATGTGAATGAAAAGTTCTGCCTAATTTGGATAAGCCTTAATTATATAGGCTTTCTTTTAAATTATGCGCAATATGCATTTATAAATGTTACGTTATATAAGTACATTGTTAACGGTTCTGTTTACTACCCACATACTTTGTTTTTGTAATTCAAGTCGTTGCTAAGATTATTTTTAAGATATGAATGTGTTAGCAAAGAAAATAATAATAAGCTGGAAGAATTGTTGAATATACTTAAATTTTTAGCCTATGTTATATGTTACTCAATCATTGAGTTATTAATGTAAATATGAATTGAAATTATGAAAATAAAAACCTCGCTTGAGGATAAGAGAAAATAAAATAGGCTTTCTTTTTTATTTAACACCTAATTTGGGTTTATTGAAAATGTCTCATGCTCGACGATTGATCGAAATCTTTAATCAAATCAAATCAAATTAAATCTTATCACATTGAACCAATTAAGAGTACTATCAATAGTGTATATCTTATTTCTTTATTAATAAGAGATTATGATATTCATTCATATTTTACTTTAGTGTATCAAGATATAGGTTATGGAAAACACGGGCATTTTATATTGTAAAGCTACGAGACATGGCTATAAAATGATAATATCAATTTAATTCACCATAGTAACCCATTTCCCATGACTCTGTTTCATAAGCTGCCGTGGTCCCGAGAGTCTACCAATACTAATCGGATGACGTTGTATCTTGCGTCTAACGGTGGTCAACTCCCCTATCATCATGTGAAGTTCATTACCCAGATGTAAAGGAGATTAGTTTTTATTGTGAATTGGGGACATCGTCGATGGGCCTGACGTACACGGTGCCCTTTTCTCCTCTTTCTGCGAAAAGTCAGTCGGCGGTTGGGAAAAAGTCTAATCAAGTTAGGAAGGTCCATGGGTGGATCCCCGGTAGCGGTAGCGGTTCTATCGGAAAGCTTATATTTTTTTCTCTCTCTCTTATCTATTTTATCACAGATGCAGTTTGTTTTATTTGTTTTCATACGTTTTGATGAATATTATTATTTATAAAACATTAAAGAGCGAAAGACATAATACCGCAAAATGGCGTAGATCAAAAAGTAACTTTCAAATGAAATATAATGACGTATCCAGACATTTAAACACAAATGGGACGGACCCCCCCCCCCCTCCCTGTACACTAGAAGGGTTGTCGGGTAGATTACTCCAAAATTGATTGTGTTTCTAGGGGGGGGGGGTCTTGAAACGTTCGGTGCAAAACTTTCAGAGGTATAAATGTAAGAGGTAAAATGTCCGAGGTAAACAAAATGTTAGACGCAAGAAAAAAATTTAGGGTAATATTTTATTATGAATTAATAAAATCGATCTTTTTTTGGGGGGGGGTGGGATTTTAGCCTCTATAAGCTTTCTCCTTGGGAGCAAGCCTGCTTCAGACAGGAAAAATAAAAGATGTATAACCTTTAATAAAAAACCATTGCACTAAGAATAAACATTTCTTTGATACATTTTATTATTATCCGATCATTACCAACCAGTTTAACACTTGCAGTATTTTATATGTTGTTGAATAGCGGTTCCACACTAAACATTACATTACATTCCCTCCATTTTATTGTACAAACTCGCTTGACATTTTGTAAACATGTCAATATAATATTAAATTATCACATGTGCTTTACTCGTTGAAACCACCAAAGTACCAATTAGAGTGTGGGTTATAATTATTTCGCAGAATCATGATCATCATGTCGATCGAATGTAAATATAATGTAGTTCTATCGTGGCCATATTTGTTATGAATTTCCCATGTGGATGTTTTGTGAGAAAGCGTTAACCCCACCCGCTTTTTATGGCCCAGCATTAAAATAAGGCGAGTTATGTATCTACTTCAATCACATGGGGCTACGCATGTACTCTCTTTTAAAAAAAGAGTGAATTGTCACTCTATTTTCACTACATATTCACTCTCCAGAGGAGTGACGTCCGTGATCACTCGATTTTTTTTCAGAGAGTACATTTCACGCCCTCCCCCCCCCCCCTCCCCCTCCCCCTA